TAAACTGGCTCCAGTTTATATGCTAAGAATGACATTGTATGGTATGGAGTATTCCTTTGCTCTGTTGGGGTCAGCTGTCCTGGTTGTGTCCCCTCCCTGCCTTGCTGAGGGGCAGAGTGAGAAGCAGAGAAGGCTCAATTCTGTGCAAACACTATTCAGCAGTAGCTGAAACGCTGTTTTTTAATCACAGTATTATCGTATGAGCTTCTATAAAGAAAATTAACTCCATTCCATGTGAAAGTGAGCAAAACATGTCACTTAATTTTTCAGTTCACCCTGAGGCAATAAATGACCAATTTAATGAAAAAGAAAAACAACCAAAAAAAAGTACCCTCCATATTATATTAGTATCACCTACTCCTATGGTGTCTAAATAATACAATATTTTAAAAATTCATTGTAAGGACTGTTTCTGGCTTTTGTTTGTAGATGTGCATTTTGCTCTCTATGCTTGAGGATATTGGCATTGTCACTGAAGTAAGAACTCCTATTCCCTCAGTAACAGCAGCAAACAATATCCTCTCATTGGATTCCATGAATGAAACAAATTTGCTTGATTTATGAATACATTTTTCAGCAAAACGAAAATCAATTTTTGTAAATCTTCGTGCTGAGTTGTCTAAAATAGTGAGAGAAGGATGAATTTTTATGCTGGTTTATCTATGTGATTGTATTACTAAATCCAACTGAAATGTCTTCCAAAGAATTTTAGGAGGTTGCTCAGTTCTCAGATGGTACAGGCTAGCTGGTTAGAGTAAATCCTTACAGATTAGGATGGTGGTTTCACCATCCTAATGGAAGAATGGAAAGCCTAAGAAAGAAGCAGCATGTGGTTTATCTGTTCTGATTAATCACGTGTTCAGTTCCTATAATATATTGACCGAGATGGGGGCTGGGGGCAGCGAACTGACACAGTTCTGGCTTTGTGGTTTGGGTCTGATCTTTAAGTCTTCATGCACTGGTTAGCAGTGGTTCTGGCTCTGAACAGCCAGAACCACTAAACACAATAAACAACAAAATATTAGACTGGCTTTGCCTTTTTTCAAGGTCCTTTGGACCAAATGCTGTACCTTTTTTCTCTTAAGTACTTTTTGAGTTATTCTGCTAAAATAATTGGAAATGGTTTAGAATTTTTGTTTCATTTTAAGGAGGCAGGCTGTGTAAGTAATTCAAAGTACCTGAAACGTAATCATTACAGCAAAAAGTAAAATTGCCTTGCTTTATTGCATAATACTTGAGCAAAAGAATACTTAACAGGATTATATTGAACTAAAAAGTTTGGAATCATTGCAGATGATCTAAGTGCTAGTCAAGACTTCAGGATTCATATGACTTCCAGTGTTCCTACACAGGTTAATGTAGATAGTGGCAGGAAAATATTTGATACAACCTGTGGAGGCCTCAGGCTATTGTGCATGTAAGATCCTTAATTTTGCTTCCTCTTTGAAGAGCAGGAAAATGGAGATATTTTAATCAAGACTCAGAACAGAAGTAGAGAGTTCCCGAGGAAAAAACTTTTTTCTCTTGTGTTATAGTCTTCGGAATGTTTCAGGAAAGGCCTTTTTGAGTCAGGCATCTGTGTAAGAGAAGGAATTTTTAGGTATTTCATATTTATTTCAAACTTTAGAATAGGCTAAGTCAAGGAAAATCTTGGAGGAAGTTTCCCAGTATAGCTTCTCTTCTGTCAGGTTTTAGAATAGAGTTGTCTTTATCCTTTACCGTGACAGTAAGGATCTTTTATATCTTGTACCACACTTCTGCAAAGAGTATGCAGGAAAAAAAAGAGAAATTTTATGATTTAACAAATCTGAATGCCAACTTCGCCTAAATTTTAAGTCAGAGAATTCTTTTTCACACCCTTAGAGGCCCTAAATACTTATACAGTACAGTTGAAATAACTGACTGCAACAAGCTGAAGTCACAAAAGAAGACAAAAGCCAAGCTCATCTGTCTTAGTGAGCTGGAAGATTGATGAGTCTATGGGAAAAGAACAATCCCAGAAAGAAAACAGAGCCTTTGCTCTTTGGAAAGCCCTTGTGATGGCTTAGCTAGAATAAGAAGAGTGCTGACTGATCCCACATATCCCTGATGCCTAACTGAGCCTAAGCCTTTCCAAAGGCTTTAAGATATCATGTCTCCTTTAATTAATATGTTTTCTTGCCTTGGTAATTTCAACATAGGAGATATATACTTTAGGATGTTGTGATAACTACTTAGGCAATCAGAAGACATTTTCGCCTTCAAGCTATTTGGCAGGTTCTGGCAGTTTTTTCTTATCTTACTGTTGACTCAAGAGATTATCAACCTATTTTTAAGAACACTTACCCAGACGCAAATTGTACCAGACTTGTCAGATAAGATAGGACAGTAACAGAAATCTGCAATTTCAAAGGGTTTTTGTGCAGGAGGAGGGAGGGCCCATATTTATAGACTCTCTACCCTGTTTCCCTGTCACACAACTGAAGGATTCAGATTCATTGCAGAAAATTTCAGTGCAGCATTAGTAGGTATGTGTCTTGCTGTCTAGAGCCAATGTTATCTCAGCCTTCACTCATCTCCGTAGATTGAGATTACTGAAGAGATAATGGGTCATTTTTCTACTGAAAGTGATTCCTTGCATTTCTAAATTCTTAAGCAGAGCCAATTTCTAATTCTTCCAGTTGGAATCTTATTCCAAAAGTCTAATGTAAACATATTTGTTAGTCTACCCATCATATGTGATAATATTTGAATTGACTTTACAATACATAATAGTGAGAATTACTAGTTTGGGTATTTTTTCCCGACCGTATCTGCACCTAATATACCTTGTGAATATACAATATATATAATTTGCAAGAATGACCAGGCCAATTTAATTCTGTGTCATTCTGACTCATCATTTATATCCACTGGATTCTTAGCTTATCAGAATGACTCAGTGGACATCATAAAAGCTTGTGGGTTTCATGTTCATAGATATGATGCCAAATCTATGTCTTTTGTGTTATTGGCTTTTTTTGAGTTTGTTTGTTTGTTTGTTTGTTTGTTTTGGGTTTTTTTTGCTTCTCACAGTTGTTAGAAGGTGGTATGTTGGAACTGTTGACAACTGTAGTCTTTTAAATAGCAAATGTTGTTTGTATATGGAGGGAGAAATAGAGATTCCAAGTGGAAATTGTGCAAATATTGTGTAGAACATTGGGGTAATTTACGTATTTATATTTTAATTACAAATAAGTAGAAACTGGATCAACATTAGCCCTTCTGACATTAGTTTAGATATCATAAATAGTAAATTTAAGTGTAAGAATAGTTTTATGTAAAAAGAAAAAAAAAAGAAAAAAAAAATTATTTTCATTTTATGGTAAGTCCCCATATTTTTGAAACAATAGAAAAAAGGTAGGAGAAATTCTAATAGGAACAATAGAAATGCCTACTACTAAATGCTAGTCATGCAGTAATCTCTACACAGCTAAGGTAGAGGAAAGGAAGCAAAAAGTTTTTCTTGATGCATAATTGCATATTGGATTATTTGAAGTGACTGATTCTTATCCAAGGCTACTTCAGTATCATTTGTTGCTTTTCAGATGAGCACAGTAACATGCCAGATTTGATTACTGTTCAGTAAGACAGCATGACTTACACTTTTATAATGAATGCTCTCACTGATTAATGGTTCATTGTACAGGAAGAACTCACTGCTGAGTACATGTTTCTTATTGCAATATATTTTTATAAAAGAAAGATATTTGGATTTTCTGATTCCCATTATTTGAAAATTGCAGTTACCAGTGTAGCAACTGACTTGGCTTTTGCTGTAGATTCTCAGACATTGTGGAGCTGGTTAATTTGGTTCGGGTTTTTTTAACCTATATGCACTTTCTACCCATGAAAGGGTGATAAAATGTTAGACTGTATAAACAGCATTAATAAAGTGAATTTTGGAAGAATTTCAATCTAATATTTAAAACTGAAAGTCTGCCTCTTTAAGCAACATTCCCTCCTTTGAGATTGATGCTGCATCTTCAGTTCTAGATTTTTTTTTCTGTGAATGAAGCTTGGTTATTTCTGATGTAGAGGAGAAGAATAAGATCACTGAAAGGCACATGTAAGTACCCCATCTGAGAAAGAACAGAAGGAGTGGCAACATCTAAATAGAGAACTATGCCACCAAATTGCTTTCATCAATGACATCTTCATGGCTACATTTCTTTAGTTTCCTGTTTAGTAAATCTCTGCCCATAACCTATGCAAAATGTGTGTGCAAAATTAAACTTTTAAGTGAAACCTCAACATCTGGCATTGCCGTTTTCATATGCATTTTTAAATCCTATTAATATTTTGTTTTATCTAAGGATTTATTTATGGTGTAGAATGCACTGCTGTATCTGAGTTCAGCCTGAACATACTTCTGCAGTTTGACCTTGGAACTAGCTATGATGGTTGTGTTACCTCAGATGAGGCATGAAATCCTCCTGTTATGAAGGATGTCTGCCATCCAGCATCTACTGCCAACCCAAGGGTCACAGAAGGAATGTGGTCTTGCCATCTTTTATTTTCCAGTTCTGAGTGTAATGCTATTACTGTTGCCAGATGTTTGTGTCATCTAGTCATAAAAATCTGGATCACAGAGGTACAAACTGATGGTCCTCTGAGATCATCGAGTCCAACCGTTAACCTAGCACTGTGAGTCCACCACTAAACCATGTCCTTAAGCACCACATCTACACGTGTTTTAAAGACTTCCAGGGAGGATGACTACGGTTCCCTGGGCAGCCTGTTCCAATGCTTGACAATCCTTTTGGTAGAGAAATTCCTGCTAATATTCAGTCTAAACCTCTCCTGGCACAGCTTGAGGCTGTTTCCTCTTGTTTTATCAAGTGGTATTTGGGAGAAGACACCAACCTTAACCTCATTTCAGGTGGTTAGGGTTGGTAGAATTATAAGGTCTCACCTGAGCCTTCTTTTCTCCAGGGTAAATAATCCCAGCTCCCTCAGCTACTCTGGACTCACTCCAGCCCCTCAATGTCCTTCTTGCTGTGAGGGGTCCAGAACAGAACACAGGATTTGTAGTGCCTTCACCACTGCCCAGTACAGGGTGACAATCACTTCCCAGGTCCTACTGGCCACACTATTGCTGATACAGGCCAGGATTCCGTTTGCTTTCTTGGACACCTGGGCACACGTGGATCATGTCTGGATGGCTTCCAGGTCCATTTCTGCTGGGCAGCTTTCTGCTGGGCTTCTTCCTCATATTATCCCTGTTCCAACGTGGGGCGTTCCCAGTGGCCGCAGGGAAAGCCCAGCCCGGCCGGGGTCTCTCCCTGGCCGCAGGCCCATCCTTGCCGGGTCTCTACAGGCCCCGGCCCCGCTCCCGCTGTCCCCCCGGGTCTCGCAGGGCTGTTTGTGGCTCGGTTCCCCTGGCTCAGCCCTGGCTGCCGGGCAGCGTTTTGCCCTCCCTTGGCCAGGCTTTCCCCGGGGCTCTCGCCCGCCCGCCCGTGGCT